GTAAATGCAACTTGCTGAGATCCAATGTGAAGAAGATGGTTCCATTGAAGTGTATTGCTCTTTCAAGGGATATCGCTATATGTTTCTTATGTGTCAACAAGTGCGTACAAGTGAACACAACAAGTGGATATGAAATCAGCTACTATCTCTGTATCCCTGTTCCGCCATGTGTTGACGGAAAGCGTACAAGGGACCTCAACAAGCGGATATGAAATCAGCTACTATATCTGTATCCCTGTTCCGCCATGTGAAGACGGAAAGCGTACAAGGGACCTCAACAAGCGGATATGAAATCAGCTACTATATCTGTATCCCTGTTCCGCCATGTGTTGACAGAGTGCGTACAAGGGACCTCAACAAGTGGATATGAAATCAGCTACTATCTCTGTATCCCAGTTCCCCATGTGTTGCCATGTGTTGAGTGAAAGCGCATAAGGGACCTCAACAAGTGGATATAAAATCAGCTACTATCTCTGTATCCCAGTTCCGCCATGTGAAGACGGAAAGCGTACAAGGGACCTCAACAAGTGGATATGAAATCAGCTACAATCTCTGTATCCCTGTTCCGCCATGTGTTGACGGAAAGCGTACAAGGGACCTCAACAAGTGGATATGAAATCAGCTACTATCTCTGTATCCCTGTTCCGCCATGTGAAGACGGAAAGCGTACAAGGGACCTCAACAAGTGGATATGAAATCAGCTACTATCTCTGTATCCCTGTTCTGCCATGTGAAGACGGAAAGCGTACAAGGGACCTCAACAAGTGGATATGAAATCAGCTACAATCTCTGTATCCCTGTTCCGCCATGTGTTGACAGCTACTATCTCTGTATCCCTGTTCTGCCATGTGTGTGACGGAAAGCGTACAAGGGACCTCAACAAGTGGATATGAAATCAGCTACTATCTCTGTATCCCTGTTCCGCCATGTGTTGACGGAGAGCGTACAAGGGACCTCAACAAGTGGATATGAAATCAGCTACTATCTCTGTATCCCAGTTCCGCCATGTGTTGACGGAGTGTGTACAAGGGACCTCAACAAGTGGATATAAAATCAGCTACTATCTCTCTATCCCTGTTCCGCCATGTGTTTGACAGGAGGCGCATAAGGGACCTCAACAAGTGGATATGAAATCAGCTACTATCTCTGTATCCCAGTTCCGCCATGTGTTGACGGTGTGTACAAGGGACCTCAACAAGTGGATATAAAATCAGCTACTATCTCTGTATCCCAGTTCCGCCATGTGTTGACGGAGGCGTTCTGCCATAAGGGACCTCAACAAGTGGATATGAAATCAGCTACTATCTCTGTATCCCAGTTCCGCCATGTGTTGACGGAGTGCGTACAAGGGACCTCAACAAGTGGATATAAAATCAGCTACTATCTCTGTATCCCTGTTCCGCCATGTGTTGACGGAGTGCGTACAAGGGACCTCAACAAGTGGATATGAAATCAGCTACTATCTCTGTATCCCTGTTCCGCCATGTGTTGACGGAAAGCGTACAAGGGACCTCAACAAGTGGATATGAAATCAGCTACTATCTCTGTATCCCAGTTCCGCCATGTGTTGACGGAGTGCGTACAAGGGACCTCAACAAGTGGATATGAAATCAGCTACTATCTCTGTATCCCAGTTCCGCCATGTGTTGACGGAGTGCGTACAAGGGACCTCAACAAGTGGATATAAAATCAGCTACTATCTCTGTATCCCAGTTCCGCCATGTGTTGACGGGGTGCGTACAAGGGACCTCAACAAGTGGATATGAAATCAGCTACTATCTCTGTACTCCACCCTTGTCACATGGCGGAACTGGGATACAAAGGTCAGAGAACAAAAAATAAAGTAACAACACAAGTGGTATTTTAACATTTGTATTTTAAGATAAAATATTAATTTGATATATGTGTATAGATATAGATATATTTACATCATATTTCAAGTATCAAAAATTATTTCTACTTGCTTACCCCCCGTGCTCAGTTTAACAGCCATGTATTCACCATGAGGCAAAAGCTGCTAGCTCACAACCAGTGACATGGAAAACAGCAATTCTCTCCCTTTGATACAAATCCGAAAAACACTGATGTTTTTGGCCAGCCAAAACATATGCACAGGCGGATCCAGAAAGGGGTGGGGGTGATGTGTGTGTGTGTGTGCACCCTCTTTTTGTCCGGAAAGTTTAGTTATTTACCATTCAAAGTATCGTGAAAACGGATGAACTGTGCACCCCCCTTTCTCAAAAAGCTGTATCTGCCCTGATATGTTGCAATGAACTATAACCTTATAGGTTTATGGTCTATTCAATGACACTGCATTACAAGCCACTTTCAAACTCTGATGTATGTATGATAAAGATTACTTCAATTGATATATGACCAAGGGAGAGAACACTATGCAACAATGAACATGAACATATTACATACAATACACTGCAATATCATTCAAAGCCAGTTTCTCCTAAACAATTCATGATTTCAATGTGTCGTATAGAAAACACAATGTGTCGTATAGAAAACACAATGCAATGTTACAAATGAAAAGAACAACTTATTATTTGAAAAATGTAAGTTAATCTTGGGTACAGTTATTTCACACAAGTCCTTTTGATATACCACTCAAGAGGAGTTAGGAACAGGCAATTGTTTCATGAAACCAAAGTTTCCTAGTGGCTGCAAGAGTTGTATGCCCCTGGGAGTTGAGATTGACATCCAATGATCGAGGGAAAAATACCAGCGCCTTGAGCATGTACTAGTTGCGTGGATATGTGCACTATATAAATATCCAATATTAAAAAACTAAAAAAAAATTAAATTGTTTCATGAAATTTTAAGTTAATCTGTGACGGCTGGTGGATACTACAGCAGCCTAACAATTGGGGGTGTTCCTCAACTTGTATTGAATAGTATACACAGGGGGGAGTGAACTGTTGTGGAATAACTCCTGAACAAAACGAGAAATGTCCAGTTCTTCTTGTATGATTACTTACATCAGTACAAAGGACTACAAGCTCTCTCACTTAAACAACTAATTACTCTTTATTTGAGTAGCCTGTGCCCATGCCCTTCAGATCTGTGTGCAGTGTGCTAAATGGGAGATACCATTGTGTAGAGCTAGCTCCCATTGTATATGAAGTTCTAGCTGGGATTAATCAAGCCATTGAATGACCCCAGCAACACCAATACTGTTAATCCCTACAGTCAATATATACTAGCTGGTGATTATAGGGCATGGAGGATGGAGCTTAACGCCCCTTTAAACTGCATTTCAGTTTTCTCACATGAGATACTACAAGGAAAGATGCTGCCATATCTTTTGGAAGAAGCTTTAAAGTGATGTTTGGATTGGTACAACTTTGTTAAATCCAATCACCATGGACATGGTGCTGAGACAATTAACTTGAATATAGTACTCTTTACTTCTAATGAAAAAATAACCTGACATCCTAGTGTCAAAACACTTTCTTCTGAGTTTTAATTTTTAGATGTCATATTATAATGACATGGCCAGTTGAAACTTGGTGTACTCCTCAGGGAGTTGATAGTTTACATTCATCAGTTTAATGTGATGCACAATGTAGTAATGATTCATCTGTACCAGGCCAATTACCACAGAAATATATTTGAACTTTTCATCAAATCAAAATTCAAGTTCTTTCAGTATATGTCAATTGGATTTCTGGGGTGTTTTTTCAAATGTATTTTGTTAAAAGAATGGCAATACAGAACGAAATATACCACTTGAACTAAGACATAATCCTTATGACAATATCTCAAAATACAAAACAGCTCGCTTGGTACAAAATGAAGTGTTGTAAGTTCAGAAAAGAGTAAATTATTTCCTTCCATATTAATTACATACATGCACACACACAAACTAACCTGACAGCCATACATGATGACCGGACAGAGACTACAATCTACGTCCCGCGTTAGTGCATCAATGAAAGGAAACATTCAGTGCTGTAATCGGAATGTCCGACCATACGACTAACACAATACTGGCAACAACAAAACATGACTTGCAGTCTAATACACAAAATGTAGTTCCAACATTTCGAGAAGAGACTCTAAAATTATCACATGAAAACACTTGCAAAGAACCCAGGAGTGAGACAAAACTACCGACTAATACACTGATAACATCCCCTTGAATAACAATAAATTCCCAACATTGTAGGTGCAGGCTCTAGGTTGTAGGTTCTATAACAGTAATATTCCCACACTGAAAGTGCAGTAATCCACAGTAGTATATGCTGATTATCTCCCCTTCTATAATAGTAATGAGCCCAGATTGCAAGTGCAGTAATCAACTGCATGGTTTAAGTTGATTACCTCCCCTTCAATAACAACCAACAAGATGAAACGTTAATTACCTACCCTTCTAAAGCGATACATTCATTACATCGTAGGTGCAGTAATAAAAATAATGCATAACATGTTTAGTACCTCTCCTTCTATAACAGCAAATTCCCAACATTGCAGGTGCAATGATCAACTAGCCAGAGACTCCTCCGTGTGTAGAAATTCTACAAGATATTATACTGGATGTGAATTACCGAGTGTGCATTCACTGGTACATAGAAAAATTCAAATGTTTAGAAATAAATGCAGCTATTTAAAAATTTGGTGTCACTTTTTTCCACATATAATTTGAAACTTTCAAATCGATGACTAATACTTGTAGATTCTTTTCAGTGGTGGTTCTCAATGTCCAACAACCAATGGCCCCTGATCATCCCCAAACTTACATCACTTGTGGTAGAGTTCTGTGTTAAAGTTTTGACATTTCTCTGGGGCTCAAAATTAGGCCCCCATTTGTTTTCCTGGAACCCTGCAATGAGAGTATCCTTGATCCTCAAAACAAACACTTGTAAATCACTTGTTTGAGTGGCATTTTAGAAATACAATATATAACAAGTTTTATGGCCCCCGTTTTTGATTTTCCGTTGTCAAGCAAGAGCTTGTTTGACAACGGTACAAGAATCTGTATCCTTGATCCTCAAAACTTGTAATATACTTGTAAATCACTGGACTAACATTGCCGTACTCTGGTGGTATTCTAACAAAAGACCACTATGTGACCAATGGCATTATTTAATCAGTCTGAACCCCCACAAGAAGTGCTTCTCAAACTATATAAAGAGAACTATCCCTATCACCCACTGTTCCAAGGAATTATAGCATCATAGAAATATTTCATACACCTTCATTTTACCTGATTTTTCCAAAATGCCAGTTGCCATGGAAAGAGTTTATAGATCTACATCTGGAGTCCAAGTTTACATAAATACAGTAAAACTGGAAAAGAGCATAGCTTTTCACAAGAAGACTACCACAGAAACAGTCAGATGAATCATAACATGTTACCTGAATCTCACAATTGTTCTTAAACCACCATAAACTCATAATTTCAAGATCAAGCCAACTTCAATATTGCCCACATTGGAGAAACATTCATCAGATCTAACACGCATGATCCTCTGTATCTTTAAATTCAGAAGCGGATCCACATCAATGAAAATTCCCCAGCATCTACACCAAATCATTGCATGGAGGGTCAGAATGCCCCATAGAGCAATCCAATACTTGTTCACATAATCAGTATATTTTAATATAAGTGAATAAAAGGTCCTTGGATCTTTGTTACAGATGACTGGCTGTAATTGGAGATCCTCGATCAGGGAAAGAGAGTGTTGAGGCTGGGCCAGGAATGAGGATGATGAATCTAGGTTCTAGTAGCACTCCTGCCGTAGCGTCTTCATGATCACATTGGTTTGGTAAATCAGGTAGTTAGCACTGATAAACACATTTTGATTCCTGAAAAGAAAATTTCAATGAATTTTGAACATGAAAGTGGAGGTGAGAACATTTGAGAAGGTGAACTGTTCTACACAGGAGCTATAAAATGGAAAAGTGAGTGAGAAACTTGGGGGTTAACGTCATTCTGAACAGCATTTCCAACATATCATGACAGCTTGAGGAGGAAAGTGAAGTGATCTGGGGTGAAATTGGGTTTAACGTCGTGCTTGAGAATATTTCACTCATATGACGACGTGCATGCGTGTGTATATGCGGCTGCTTGTACTAGCCCAGACTTAAGCTCACTGAGATACCATGCCACAGTGAAGCATAAATACCCCACTCAGACACATTATACTGACTCCGAGCCGACCAGTCCTTGTTGTACCCACCCATTAATGCTGAGTGCTGGACAGGGACCAACAAGTACCATATTTTTACGTCTTTTGGTATGACGCGGTTGGGGATTGAACCTGCGACCTTCCGCTCTCTGGGCGGACGCTCTAACCACTACACAATGGAGGCGGTCTGAGGAGGAAAGTCCCAAAATGATACAATTCCGAGACTTTCACCACACTGACAAAGACTGTCAAGCATTGGTATGGTGCTGAGAAACTCTAAAATATAATTGGGTGACCCATCATCATACGATGCTGGCATCAACTACAAAGCTTACACAACTTGACCACAGGTGCATCTTAGCATCAGCGTAAGAGCTAACTTTCCCTCAAACACTGTACTGGTTGTGTTCAACTTGACCACAGGAGCATCTTAGCATCAGTGCAAGAGCCAACTTTCCATCAAACACTGTATTGGTTGTGTTCAAAGTAGACTGTGTAAGAAAATGAAAGGGTCTGAAAATTTCATACTACATCACTGTTGCCATCATGTCTGACCATCAGCAGTTTGACAATCACGAGATGTTCCCATAGGATTTAGTATGATGTCATTAAGTCAGCTGATCTGATCTCCCAATGCTCATCAGTAGAGCGATGTAGAGGGATGGGGATCTATCTAACCATGGCACCTGCATCAGAAATTAACATGTATGGAATCAGATATGATTGCTGTGATCATGGCAACACATACTGGTTGGTATCTCTGAAATAGTCCTTCAGTGTGTTGCTGAACTTCTTGGAATATCGAACAAAGTCCTTCTTTCTGTCTTCAAGAATCTGAAACAGGCAATACAATATCTCAGGTCATCCAACTGTTAGGGAACAGATATCATCATGCTAATTCTCGTGGGAGAAATCTTCATTTAATAATTCCACATTGAACTTTATCTGAAATACGTTTACTCCCAAGAAGATGTTGGGCAGGCTGGATTAGATTTCCTCATTATTGACACAATAGTTATAAGTTGTGTGTGAGCAAAGTCAAAGTCTGACGGAAAGTCACTTAGTCAGGGTAAAACAAGTCTTACATGTCAGATTACCATTGTGAGAGAAAGAAATGGTCATTCACGGCTGACACAGAATTGATGAGTTTAAAACTGTATTTCACAGTGTGGCAGCCTTATTAAGAGGGAAGATAAAGAGATCGAATGATTGATTTGATTTAAACATATTTTAATCACAAATGTGAAAGGGATTGGGGACAAGATATCCAACCTTAAATACCCGCTCCCGAAATGATTACCCCTTTGTGTTGAAGTCAAAGACTGAGGACTAGTGTTGGGAATTGTTTAAAATCTCATAATTGATTATTGGTTCATTACCACCACTCAATCATCGAAAATAATTGTTAGTGTCATTTATGAAAATTGTTAATGAAGAAAAAAACAATAATGAAAAAAGCGTAGTTCTTTGGGATATTTGGCAAAATTTCACATCTTTAAAAGATGACTAATATGTTAGGAACATAAATTTCTTGGAGTCTTTGAGATAAATTCAATCATGACTTGGAACGAGCTTGTAGTGCTTATGAAATGTAACAGACAAAACCAACCTTGTGAAAAATATTGTTAATGAAAACAACTGTTCCAGAATTGTTTGTGTTCGATTATGAGAAAACATGATCGATTAATTGGTCGTTTAGTCAATCTTTGATCATTTCAATTAATCGGACCACCACTACTGAGGACAGGTGATACCAAATGACAGTCAACTTGAAACTGTCCCCACCACATACTATATACAGGAACAAAGATGAAGGAGACAGTTGAATCAATGTTGACAGCCAAGGGACACAACTCTACATACACTGTTCTCTCACTCAGACTCCTGGGACCACTCTAATTCAGGGACCAGTGTGATATTACTGGAATATTGCTAAAAGTGGAGTAAAACTAAACTCACTCACTCACCCTTGTTCAGGGTAGGATGGGGCATTGTGCTTTAGTTGACGTCTGCTCCTATATACATTGTTGTATTGTTCCACGCACCTTACAAAGCTGGCTCAACATCTACTGTGGAGAACCAGTTATACCTGGCTGATTACCATTTCAGTACCACACAATCTATGAGTACTAGCAAGTGACCACCCACCTGTTTGCTGCCATTCTCAGATGGTGCCATCTCCCCTATCACCCTGTTCACAGCATCCAGGAGAGTCTTGATGGAATTGGCAATCTCCCTGAAACAGGCAAAAAGTTCAGATATCAAGTCACTTATGTTTAATGTGCCACAAACAGTATGTATCCCTGAAAATGCTGAAAAAACGCCACTCACAAAACTATCTTGAGTAAAGTTCACAAACAGATTAACAAATATTGTGAAACTTGGATATGAACCTCTTGAACTAAACATAAACGTCAGTATTCTGGGGAGAAGCATGACAACACGGTCAACGAATGTGCAATGCATTTGAACTGAGATAGTATAATCCCAAATATAACATGTTGCAACATGGTGAAGTTTCAACTTCACTGGTCTTGTCGTTTCTGAAGATGTGCACATGATGCATGAAGAACAAACAGACTCCCGCATGATCGATTAATTCCCTTGACTGAAGAGGCAGCTCACGATATCGCTGACAAAGACTACTAGAACTGCCTGCTCTGTTAGAATCTAAAGCTGCTACATGTGTTTACTTGATTGTCTCCAAGAATTGTTTTCTGTAAATCTGTTCTGGAATGCGACTGAGTATCCTCTTCAGATCCCCGGCACAGAGGTTCAGCTCCTGGTAGATGGGCTCTGACCGTGGAATCCGCAGCTCTGGAACAAATGGTAACATTACTGTCATCGTCTTCAAATTTGCCTTACAGCAGCAGTGGACTTGGTAAACATATGTTCATGTAACCACTGTTCACATCTCAACAAGGGATAGCACTAGAAACGTGGTAGCACTGAACTATTTACGTACAAAAACGAAACAGTCTCGGACATTATTCTTCCCTGAAAACCTGCTGACTGACCCAAATCATTTCCATCAGTACATATATCATGAAGCAGTTTCACAGTGACATCACATATGAGTGCATGCACACACACAAAACATACGTAATTTCTGTCCACAGTCTTATAAGTTCTCTAGCCTCATATTCCCAACGAGGCAACGCCTTTATGAACAGATTATTCACAAAATATACATGCAAATGTGAATATATCGCTTTTACAGTGTAAAGGACTGGGTCAGCTTTAAGAATTAAACTCTAACTCAGAGTGAAAAGATATGATATATACCTATATCTATACCTATATACATATACTGACCTACATAGTGACTACTCATTGAATGAGTACATTCACCTGTGCTGTAGATACATGACAGACCTACCCTCGGTTTCTGTGGCTCCCCCTAGTCTGAGGAGCGTCTCACATAGATCAACCTTCTCACTGATCTCAGCCTTCCGCAACAACAAGCGCAGGAAGTCGAAGGCGAGCCCAGGCAGCGACGTGTCGGCCTGTCAACACCAGAGGAACATACATCATTACTTTAATCATGTACATTTCAAGATAACTATACGTTGGTGAAAGTGGTATTTTATTGACTAACCAGGCAATTCTTTTTGTGCTTGTTTCCACACAGCCCCTAAAAGTCACGTCCACTAGCAGACTTTCATTTCCTAATTTGCTCAAATGGAAAAAAAAGACTTCTGTTATATTATTGTGCTCAACGATGTTGATATAAGGCGATGTTGTCAGTCATTTTGTGTCAATGATGTTGTGTAAGGCGATGTTGTTGTCAGTCGTTTTGTGTCCACGACGTTGATGTAAGGCGATGTTATTGTCAGTTGTTTTGTGTCAAAGATGTTGATGAAAGGCAATGTTGTTGTTGGTCGTTTTGTGACAACGATGTTGATGTAAGGCCATGTTATTGTCAGTCGTTTTGTGTCCACGACGTTGATGTAAGGCGATGTTATTGTCAGTTGTTTTGTGTCAAAGATGTTGATGAAAGGCAATGTTGTTGTTGGTCGTTTTGTGTCAACGATGTTGATATAAGGCGATGTTGTTGTCAGTAGTTTTGTGTCCACGATGTTGATGTAATGCGATGTTGTTGTCAGTAGTTTTGTGTCCACGATGTTGATATAAGGCGATGTTGTTGTCAGTTGTTTTGTGTCAAAGATGTTGATGTAAGGCGATGTTATTGTCAGTTGTTTTGTGTCAATGATTTAATCTGCAGCCAGTGAAGTTATTATTTCTTTGCAAATATTTACCTCACTATGTTTTGGTCAACGATGTTGTGTAAGGCGATGTTGTTGTCAGTCGTTTTGTGTCCACGACGTTGATGTAAGGCGATGTTATTGTCAGTTGTTTTGTGTCAAAGATGTTGATGAAAGGCAATGTTGTTGTTGGTCGTTTTGTGTCAACGATGTTGATGTAATGCGATGTTGTTGTCAGTAGTTTTGTGTCCACGATGTTGATATAAGGCGATGTTGTTGTCAGTTGTTTTGTGTCCACAATGTTGTGTAAGGTGATATTGTTGTTGGTCGTTTTGTGTTAACGATGTTGATGTAATGCGATGTTGTTGTCAGTAGTTTTGTGTCCACGATGTTGATATAAGGCGATGTTGTTGTCAGTTGTTTTGTGTCCACAATGTTGTGTAAGGTGATATTGTTGTTGGTCGTTTTGTGTCCACGATGTTGATGTAAGGCGATGTTGTTGTCAGTTGTTTTGTGTCAAAGATGTTGATGAAAGGCAATGTTGTTGTTGGTCGTTTTGTGTCAACGATGTTGATATAAGGCGATGTTGTTGTCAGTAGTTTTGTGTCCACAATGTTGTGTAAGGTGATATTGTTGTTGGTCGTTTTGTGTCCACGATGTTGATGTAAGGCGATGTTATTGTCAGTTGTTTTGTGTCAAAGATGTTGATGAAAGGCAATGTTGTTGTTGGTCGTTTTTGTGTCAACGATGTTGATATAAGGCGATGTTGTTGTCAGTAGTTTTGTGTCCACGATGTTGATGTAATGCGATGTTGTTGTCAGTAGTTTTGTGTCCACGATGTTGATATAAGGCGATGTTGTTGTCAGTTGTTTTGTGTCAAAGATGTTGATGTAAGGCGATGTTATTGTCAGTTGTTTTGTGTCAATGATTTAATCTGCAGCCAGTGAAGTTATTATTTCTTTGCAAATATTTACCTCACTATGTTTTGGTCAACGATGTTGTGTAAGGCGATGTTGTTGTCAGTCGTTTTGTGTCCACGACGTTGATGTAAGGCGATGTTATTGTCAGTTGTTTTGTGTCAAAGATGTTGATGAAAGGCAATGTTGTTGTTGGTCGTTTTGTGTCAACGATGTTGATGTAATGCGATGTTGTTGTCAGTAGTTTTGTGTCCACGATGTTGATATAAGGCGATGTTGTTGTCAGTTGTTTTGTGTCCACAATGTTGTGTAAGGTGATATTGTTGTTGGTCGTTTTGTGTTAACGATGTTGATGTAATGCGATGTTGTTGTCAGTAGTTTTGTGTCCACGATGTTGATATAAGGCGATGTTGTTGTCAGTTGTTTTGTGTCCACAATGTTGTGTAAGGTGATATTGTTGTTGGTCGTTTTGTGTCCACGATGTTGATGTAAGGCGATGTTGTTGTCAGTTGTTTTGTGTCCACGACGTTGTGTAAGGCGTTGTTGTCAGTTGTTTTGTGTCCATGATGTTGATGTAAAGCGTTGTTGTCAGTTGTTTTGTGTCCATGATGTTGATGTAAAGCGATGTTATCAGTCGTTTTGGGTCAACGATGTTGATGTATGGCAATGTTGATGTTAAAGTACTGTCGGAAATGCTAGAAAAATGCTTTTTTGCCCATATATCTTTATAAAGGTGATAAATGTACTATGTTGTCAATATATCAACTCGCCTATAGTGTACCTAATTTTTATTTCAATCGATTTAACATTCCCATGCATTTAAAGGACAGTTTACAGGAGAGAATTTGGTACCAAAACAACAACTTAAGATTTTTTCAGAGTTCAACAATAGAAATCTGAAATAGTCTTTAAATTTATGCTAATAATACAGGTGGTGTAAAAATATGAATTTACGTTTTTCTTAAACAAATATATGTTGAATGTTTGTGTTACTTTACTTAATTATCGTTTCTTTATTGGAGAAAAATTAATATAAATATTAAGTCTTGATAAATAAATTTCCCGTCATGCATGCACATCTTTATCACAGCGTCCACTATGGCCAACTATTTGTAGTCGATTGTTGCAAAGGTTTATAAGTTTTACTGTGCTTGAAAAAGACAGAGGTAAACCTTTCATTAGTTTAGAAAGGGTTTATTACAGAACTTGTAGAGCTAGTTTGTCTTACCAACAAGTTTACAATATTGTAAACAAATCAGACAAGACAGGGACCATCTCAAAAGCAAAACCGGGACGTACAACCATCCTTGACAACTTTGACAAGGGAGGACTTAGACGGGCAGTCTACAAACTTTAGAAGAAGAATATATACTGTATATGACCGTCTATAAGCCGACCCCTATTACACAATGCTAGGATATATTTCTTTTGGTGCCCCTTTTTGTTAAATAATAGTATTCAATCAATAGAATTCGTCCGTTATATTATTGTGCATGTTTGAACTTATTCGCCGGGAAACGTGTGCACAGCTGATTGCTATTTCCGGCTTTGTGTATGAGACAAATACGCACGGTAATCTTAATCCCTGCAAATAAAACAATGTCCAGCAAAACCAACTTATAACTTAAATGGTAAATAATCTTGTCTAGTGATGTTTAATTGCAAATTTGACGTCTCTACTGACAAAGTCGTCTTCTGTTGTTTGTTCACGCGAAGTGATACGATGTTGTTTTCTTACCCCTGGAAAAAAGTTTGACGAAAGTGTAACTCATGGATAAGACGACCCCCTTCTACAGACTGCTTTTTTTGGTCCTCAAAATTCGGCTTATAGACGGTCATATACGGTATATTCGAAAGAAGCTACACCAGTGACTTCGTTAAATCTTTGGCCAATGTTCACAACTAGATTAAACTGACCGAAATACATCCATATTTTTGCAATGAAATATACTGTTGACATGCAAAACATTTATTAAAACGTTGCACATTTCTACAATCAATCGATAAGATAACACAAGTGATAGGATTCTTTCCAATGTACAGTAATTCGTAAGTTTATTTCAAAACAAACACACATACACAAATGATCCCTTACATAACCAATACATATACTATACATAGACATATTCAACATTTTGAAGAAAACATCTATTGAGATGACCCCTTGCCCGAGCGTGTGCTCAGGTGTCAATTTCACCTGTCGATACCGTGCATGCTGATGACGTAACACAGGCAGTTAATGTTTGTATCAAATAACGTCCCACTACACCTTATTTTTCTAAGTTTTTGGTATTTTCATAAGTAAAAACACATTTTAGGGCACGTCTCAAAATTTATTCCCTCAGTCTACCTTAGGTAGATGTTTCTTAAAGTGATATTTGTTATTTAAGTAACTGTAATACCTCTGAATTTTAAATATAAGTCAAAAAGCATTTTTCTAGCATTTCCGACAGTACTTTAGTTGTTTTGTGTCCATGAAGTTGATATAAAGCGATGTTGTTTTGTGTCAATGATGGTATAAGGCAATGTTGTTGTCAGTCGTTTTGTGTCCACGATATTGATGTAAGGCGATGATGTTGTCAGTTGTTTTGTGTCCACAATGTTGACGTAAGACACAAGATTGGTGCACAAAATGGAACGCCCATGTTGACAGTTTTGATTTGTCACAGCAATAACCAGTGATCTCATGACACTCAAATGTGGTATGTAATAGTTATAGTAGACAGTACCATGTGCAGTCTTGGCAAACTGACATGACTTGCACTACTGCAATGCTAGTACATGTTCCATTCTTCATATCTCACTTTGGAAAGGACATAAGGGTTCAAGTAAAACATGCTCCCTTAAAAAAATCGTAAATATTCATTAATATTTGATTCTGGTGACCACGAATAACGAACTGAATTCATGAAGGGCTACGGTTTGATTCACTGAATATGCAAGTGAATCGTTACAGCCTTAGTAATGATAAAATAACGATGGGAGGAAGCCAATGTTGAGGAGGCAGGACAAAGTATACATAGCAGATGGGGTAATGATGCCTCCTCAATATTGGCCTCCTCCCATTGTTATTGTATTATTACCTATCCCATTGTTGTTGTTGTTAATCCCTTTGATGCACTCTCACGTTGTCTTACTTAATCCCTGTTACAAGTCGGTTCTGTACTGTATTACTTTACTCTTGCTTGACAACAGTATAAGAATCTATACCGAAACGTCGCATCATAAGAAATGTAGAAGTTTTTATCCATAAAGTGTTATACTTTCGTATTATCCATCAACTTCTGAAATGCCAATCAACCAGATCATCTTTTCACTTTTGAAGTTTTCACTTGGACACCTACCTAGCTCTCACCTGATGAAGGAGTAAGGATATAGTCCTCA